CAAAGGGTTAATACATATGTACATATAAACAAGCAAATAGATCATCAAAACACGAAGATTCCAAGTGGTAAATGAATAAAGTGTCACAAACCACATAGAAAAATAAAAATATAATCAATTGACACGGAAAACTGGTCAGCTACATTAAAAACGGAAAATTCAAAATAAGCTGATACATGATTTACTAACAACAAATTAGCAAAGATTTTTTAAATACAAGACTCCTAAATTTTGGCTGCTCAGAGTGCTAAGAAAACACATTCCAAAAACTGCTGCAAGGAAGGCAAACTGATAGAACCTTTCTAAAAAACAATCTAGCAAATCTGGTAGACAGACATAGACAAACTAACTAATGAAAGTAAATAACAAAGTTATTGGAACAGAAAAATGGCCATTATGCAGAAACATACATGAGGCTTGGGGGGGAAAAACTTATGTAAGTCAATTCAAGGTGAGGATTCCTACTCCTCACAGCCTGAAGTATTCTAAATAAGTGCTTCTCAAGCTGTCTGTGATGAAGAACCAGTGTTGTGTTTTATTTCATTTGCATTTGTTTCCAATCTATTCCAGAATAATAATAGAAAAAATTAAATGACATACAAAATATAAATTAATGTTTTAAAAACTCTCAGAGTGAACATATAAATTACTCTGTCAATTGCTATAAACCCAATGCTTACGTTTAATTTCTATATCCACTTTGTGCACACTCTTGTGGACAGGCACTGGCCCATGAATCACATTGTGAACAGCACTCCTGTAAGTGCCCAGTGCCTGAACAGGCGAATAGGCCCCTCTGTAAAGCTTCTAAAATTTTACTTCATTAGAAACATAATCACCTAAATTATCAACATATTATCACTCACAGATGGACCATCCTCATTCTGCGAAAGTTCTGAAATGATATTAGGCATAAAATGTGATTGCTCCATGCCAGCCTTGAAAACAATTTTGTTTCTTCTCATTTTCTTCTCATTTTAAATAATCAGTGTATAATCTGTTTTGGAAATCTGGTAACTGCCAAATACGAAGCAAACCACAGAAAATTACTCACCACTTACTAAGATTTAGCATCTTCTTACTCAATTCTTACCAAATCAACCTGTATACTAAGATGTAATCCCAACGAAGTCAACAAGCTGTTTTGGTTTGTTGTGTTTCAACAGGGTTGTGGGGGAATTAAGTTGGCTCTCAAGTTCATCTGGGAGAGAAATTATGATGGCAATGTTATCTGGCAAAAGAACAATGGAATGAAATGGGGTGCACTTACTCTATCTACCAGGTGCCAACTAATCCATGAAACCACAGAAATTAAAATGGTGTGACTCTCACAAGAGTAACAGTAATGTAATAATAATTACTTAAAAAAAAAGAAAAAGGGCTGGGCATGGTGGCTCACGCCTGTAATCCCAGCACTTTGGGAGGCTGAGGCAGGTGGATCACCTGAGGTCAGGAGATCAAGACCAGCCTGGCTAACATGATGAAACCCCATCTCTACTAAAAATACAAAAAAATCAGCTGGGTGTGGTGGTGGATGCCTGTAATCCCAGCTACTCGGGAGGCTGAGGCAAGAGAATCGCTGAACCAGGAAGGCGCAGGTTGCAGTGAGCCGAGATCGTGCCACTGCACTCAAGCCTGGCAAGAAGAGGGAAATTCTGTTTCAAAAAACAAATAGAAAAAAAACAAAAGACAACAATAGCAGTAACAGACATTTATTGAGCATGTATTATGACGAAGGCATGTGGGGAGTGCTTAATATTCATAATGTCATTCCTCACAACCCTACAAGACAGATGTTATCATTATTTCCCTTGTATTATAAGGAAACAAGCTTAGGGAGGTTGAATAGCTTAATACGTGACAGATGTGGGGAAAAGGAATACATCAATAGAAAGAAAAACTGGAGTCCGGAAACACACTCAATTTAATGCTAAGGGTAGCAATTTCAAGTCGCTGAGGAATAGACAGAATAGACTGATTATTTAATATTTAATAAATGACTGTTAGGCAAAAGATATGATAAAATACACTTAGATCCTAACTAGCAACAAACACAACATTTAAAGCTGTGTGAAGCGATAACGAGATAAATATAAAAAATAAAACTACAAACATTCTAAAAAATAAGAGAATTTAAAAAATTATAAGGTGAAGAATGCCATTCTAATAAGAAACAAAACACAGAAGTGAGAATCGACTGTAAAAATCTTAACAGTTTTGTAATGTACTATTTAAAAAACTAAAAGAAATATGCTAGGCAAAAGTGTTTGCAATATGCAAGGAAGGGTTAATATCCTTAATACTTAAACAGAATCAATGTGAAACGATAAGTAATTGATCAGAAATGAGTAAAAACTAAAGATTTTACAGAAGAAATACAAACGAAAAACTGTTTTAAAATAATCCTCAAATTCATTAAAAATCAGAAAAAAACTAGAAAAAGACAATATTTCACATTTATCAGATGTTAAAAATTGAAACGCTGATAACATCTAAGTTGGTGAGACTACGGTAAAACAGACACTGATGAATGGTTACTAAAACAGATTATTTATGTTGCTTTTCTTCGGAAAGCAAACCTGTGGTACCTATCAAAATTCAATATCTGGTTATCCTTCAACTCAGGGTTAATACTTCCAGAAACAGAAATACATTCAGACTTCTTTTGAATATATTGTTTGTGGCTGGGTGCGGTGGCTCACACCTGTAATCCCAGTACTTGGGGAGGCCGAGGTGGGCGGACAACTTGAGGCCAGGAGCTCAAGACCAGCCTGGCCAACACAGTGAAACCCTATCTTTATGAAAATACAAAAATTAGCCAGGTGTGGTGGCACACATCCATGGTCCCAGCTACTTGGGAGGCCGAGGCATGAGAACTGCTTGAACTCGGGAAGTGGAGGTTGCAGTGAGCTGAGATTGTACCACCGTACTCCAGCCTGGGCTACAGAGCAAGACTCTGTCTCAAAAAAAAAAATAAATAAATAAATAAATAAATAATAATAAATATAATAATAACAATGTACTGTTTCTTATTCCTAGAATGTTTTTTCTATTTTTGTCTAGAAAACTCTTATTCATGTTTTAACACTCAGTTTCAATGCCCCTTCCTCGTGTCCAGGCCACGTTTAATTCATCTTTGTATTCCTCAGCACAACTGCAAAAGTCCAGTAGTTTTGAAAGCTTATGTAAAGACAGGCAACACAAAACATGGAGTAGATCAATGAGAAGCAATGGGAGGACATGAGGCATTTGTGTGAATGAGTTAATGATGATGGAGAAAGCAAACAGAAGTAACAGTCTGAAGGCAGGAAGAAGACCGTTACTGAAGTATGGCTAGAGAGTCTAAAAAGAGTGGGTCAAACCAACAACAGTGAAACAAAGATGAGCAAAGCAGGCCCACATAAGATTCCAAAGCATGAGAAAACTGGTTAAAAAAAAAAATAGAGCTTGAGAGTAGTTATTTCCAGTCTTGAAACTAAGCCCAAGTTATGTTTAAAAAAAGAAACAGAAAACGACAACATTCCTTGAGAGAAAAACTTGAAAATAAAAAGAACTCATGAAAAGCTGTTTGTATTGACCCTTCATGATCTCCTAAAATGGAGGCTACAATGCTTTTTTCTTTCATAAGCACATACAAGATCCAAATGCAGAATGTCGTATATGTGAATTTGGTAACAGGTTTAAATTAAAAGTTTATAATTGGAATTGGTGTAAGGTATTAATTCTTTTTTCTTAATCGAAGCATGGTTCTCTACTGTAGAGTCTTTTAAACAAAGATTAAAACGGCTTAGTTTAATTAGTATTTCCAAGTAGATTTCAACATTATTTTCAATAATAATGTTCTTTCAAAATGTCTTTTCTGAAATAAGATTTGATCTTCTCCAGAATATTTATTGCTTGGAATCACTCTAATTTATGAATTTATCATTTATTCATTCAACAAATGCTTTTGAGTCAAAAAGTTTGCTGAATAAATGATAAATGTATAAATTATTTAAAATTATATTGAAATCTTGAAATTTTTAATTTATGATACTAATCTTTTTTAAAAAGTTTGAAAAACAGTAAATTAATACGGCTCAGTAACTTGTAAGAGAATTTTTAAAGTAACATTTTAAAAACTAGATTTTACAGCGTTTTCCAGTGTGCATTCCCTAATGCTGCTTTCATTTTTCTTCCCTATTAAGCATGAATTGAGCCTACATGTTTAAAAAATAAAATCTAGCCGATACTAAGACAGAAAGAAAAATGTACAGTCTCTACACACAAAATCTTCATAGTATTAGTAGGGAGACAGCATGTATACTGAACACACAGAAATATAAAGGAACCATAAAAATAAATATTAGTAAAAACAATACAATAATATACAGAAGATGAGAGAAGAAAAGAAAAAAAAAAGGTGCTTTATGGATTGGATCTGGGCTGCTTCCAATCCAACTGAAACAAGTTACTGGGGCAAATGAGGAGGCATAGGCATAGTGCCTTGGTTACCACAAGCTGTATGGCAATCTCTGTACCATGTAATTTCCTGGGTGCTAGTTTCTTTCTTGGCAAAATAAAGAATTGGAACTAGCTCGTCTCCAAAAATCTCTTTTAGCTCTCAAATTTTGATACATGGTTTTTAATAGCCGATATTTTCCTATTCCAAAGATAAGCAAACTTTTATACTGTTTTCACTATTTGAGATTAGATTGCTTTTCAGTCTAGGCAAGAATACAAATAACTATATCACTTCATTATTCCAAATTACAGAAACAGATTCTGAAGAGGGCCAGGGTAAGCAGTTTACTCAGTACTAAAAATCATTATGGTATTACAGGGGTACCCAATACAGCATGCTATACAGAAAGCACCGTGATGATTATTCAGTTGTCCAAATGATCTAATGGAAAAGGAAAGCATAAAGGAGAGATTACACAATCCTATATATTCTTATTTCACTCACTTCTAACGCTCCTGACTCTTTTCACTCACTTCTAATCTTTTGATTCCTTTTATAAAATGGTCCTGATAGTTGACAAGCCTGTGTAATAACATGGTATGGTATTAGCACACAAGTTATTCTTTTTACTCATCAAATCGGCTCCAACAAATTTATAACTTACCGCCCGGGCTGAGTCACCAAAGTCTATCTTCAACCTCCCCATGGCCCTAATGATAGCAATAATCGACTGGATAGTGTTACTGTAGACGACTGCTTTGTACTGTTTACACTCCTCTTCTGAATAACCAGCTTCATGGATAATTCTTATGAGACAAAAGGGGGAAAAAAACCAAAACATTTACTTCCTTTCGTAGAAGGGTACACTTACTTAAACATAAACAGCAAATTTAATGTTTAAATCTACTTACTTCATCTGCTTCACAATTGTACTTTTACCAGATTCACCAGCACCTAAAAAAAACCATAAATAAAAGGTTTCTAACTTCATCATAATCACTTTATAATCACTTTATGTTGGGAGTTGAATATACTTACTCAACTCCCAACACACACACACCCAGTCTTCTCTCTGTGTGTCTACCTCTTAGAGCTGAATTTTGTTTTATACTAAAATGAGATACAAGGCAGCAAATATGGAGGATTAATAAGTATAAAGATCTAACATACAACATGAGAACTGTAGTTGTAGAGTAATAATACTGTATGGTCTCAGGATTTTGCTAAATGAGTAGATGACAGCTGTTCTAGCCACAGGTGACAAACAGGTAACTACATGAAATGATGTGTATGTTCATCTGTCTCAACATAGTAACCATTTTGATACATATATTTTGTAACATCAGGTTGTATGCATTTAATACACAAAATAAAATTTATTTTAAAACAAATAAATAAAATGAGCTTCATCGGTTTCCAAACACACAGAAAAGTTCTGGGAAATAAGTCTGCTCTACCTGTTATTTCATAAAGTCAATAAACTCAAATGAAAAAAACATGCTTCTACTGTTGTTTGTGTGTATTCTGTAAAGCATTAAAAAATTCAGTCTTTTCTAAGTTAAATAAAACCTGTATAAATTAGTTTTATTTAAGACTCTGTTCCCCACTGGAAGATGTTTTAACTGCTTGACCAATTATCTTAATTTTAACCCGTGGCTTTTGTGAAATAGGCAGCAGTGGCACCAAGAAGCCACATGAAAAACTATTCTAAAGTATCAGATGTTCAAATAGCTATGTCTCATGCAATATGTGTTCAATCACCATTATTAAAAACGTAATACAGAACCAAGATGATCCGCTATCCCTGAGGATTCAATGTTGTGCTGGACAAAAATAAAATAAAATAAAATAAAAAGCGTCTTTTCATCTTCAGTGTCATGCAAGTCATAAGGCCAGAAGCCATTCTCAAAACTCTCCTTCACTCTCTATATATGCAGAGCCTCCTCAAGATTTGAGTTCCTAGGGCTATGCTATCCTAACATGAAAATACTACTAAGGAAATGCCAGTTTACAAAATCAGGCCCTTCTTAAATACCCTTTCCACTTTACAACAGCTGCTATCTTTATACCAAATTAGATCAATTATTTGTCAGGCTCCCCTCCCTTGATTGCTGGGTATTGAGAACATCCGAGCCAAGGACACAAGACATGGAAGATATGACAAGTTTTTCATTTGGTTTCACACACTCTTTGGCCAATACTGCAATATCCTGGAGGAATTTATGACTGTTTGAGAGACAGGGTCCAGGATTTTCACTATATTTTCATTCCATTTTAGGCTCCATATTCCCATTTTCCCTGGGCCATTCCTACAGTTTTATGTTCAGCATTACTGAACAACTTACAGTTCCAGGAACACCCACTGCTGCTCATGCCACACATCTTCAAACACTGTTTCCCCTGCCAAAATGCAATTTGCTCTGGTCTTGCCACTCTGGTGATTCTTTATTAACCATCAAACTTATCTCCTTTGTCAACCTCTCCTTACCCATTCTGCATGTGATTCCTGCTGCCTCTCACTTTGCACATGTTTGTATTTGAATTTTCAGAAGCTAGCTTGTGCTATACACAAAATCAACCAACCAGAAATGTACTTGAATTTATTTAAGCTATTTATCACTGACACAACTGATGGTCAACTTCTGGGCCTCATCTCTCCCTTTACCTCTTTTCTTCTCCAGACACACACACACACACACACACACACACACACACACACACAAGCACACACACCCAACTCATCAGAGACATCTGAAAAGAGGTTATAAACAGCCTATTTGAATATCTGAGGATAAAACTCCCTAAATTTTACTTGCTGTTTGATATTTAAGAAATTTTCCCAAAATACCCTCACACTGAATAGAAAAGCAGGCACTGAATAAACAATAAAAGCATTCTTCATTTACAGACAGGCTTTGAATCTTTCAGGGCATCTGCCAATAAAAACAAGTCCAAGATAAACAACCCATTATTTATTAATCAACAACAGTGTGCTTGGCTCTATGAAAAGCACAATGGCAGGCATTCTGGCTCACACATTTCTCTAATCCTGGGGGTCCACACAAGTAATACAACCTAGGCAGTTTCCAGTAGGGCTGTCTTTAAGAAACCAGTCTGGGTTTCTAGAGTACTGTGAGTGAGTCAGCGGCTGCCATGCTGTGATGATAGGACACTCTAGATTCCAGGATTCATACACAGGGGTGGCAATTCCACAGATATAGCCAACTTTGATGAATAGCCACCTATGGTCTATTTTGTTAGTGAAACAACTCAAAAGCCCAGAGAAAGGTTCAAGTGATATAAGCTCATTGAGTTTCGAGATCCACGAAAGGAAGAAAATCAGAAAACATAAAGAATAAGTTTGTTTCCAGTTGAACTGGTCTTGCCACCCTGGTGATTCATTTGAGTTTATGTATGTACAAATGAGAATGTTTAAACCTTAAGAAAAAAACAAATTTTCCTGCTATTAGACATTATCTCTACATTCTAATTCACTTTTTATCTCTTCAAATAAATGGGAACATGGAACCCTTAGCTTACTTTGCATTGCACATCCAGTCAATGGTCTGTGGTTCAAAAAATCCTGAAATCTGTTTGAAGCCATTAAGGGGGGGGCGGTCGTGGTGGCTCATGCCCTGTAATCCCAGCACTTTGGGAGGCTGAGGCGTGCAGATGACAAGGACAGGAGTTCAAGACCGCCAGCCTGGCAATATGGTAAAACCCGTCTCTAACTAAAAAATACAAAAATTAACTGGGCCATGGTAGGCAGGTGCCTATAGTCCGCAGCTACTCGCAGAGGCTGAGGCAGAAGAGTTGCATGAACCCAGGAAGGGGGAGCTTGCAGTGAGTCGAGATAATGCCACTGTACTCCCATGACCTGGGCCCAACAGTGTGAGACTCCATTCTCAAAAAAAAAAAAAAAAGAATGGGGATGGGAGTCTTATTAACTGGATTTGTACTTTCTTTACTAGTCACAAAATACTCTTTGTGGAATAGATATCTACAGGCAGAAATTTTGCAAAAATGTTTCAAAGCTTAGTAATTTACATAATTAGTTTTCAACTCTCACTTCCATACAGAGTCTCCTAACAGGAAAAGTACAAATGTCACGTGGTTAGGGTTTCAACATTCTGAACACTGGTATTTTCTCCATATAGTACAGACAAAAGAGTAAACAGTTGTTCTCTACAAATCTCAGGCAGCACAGTCACTTCTGGGAGGCTGGGGGTGTAACGCTGCACATCGTTGCCTGATGTGCATGCCAAGTCAATGTGCTGAGACCCTGGGCTGCAGTAGAGAAAGAGGTTTAATCGTAGTAGGGCCACCGAACAGACAGAGGAAACCGCAAATCCATCTGCCTGAGGAGTTTGGGGCTAGAGTTTTTAAGGGTTTGGGAGTTGGCTGAAGTATACAGATTGAGTGGTCAATGAAAGCAGGGTAAAGTCATAGGACAGGGAGATGAAGAAACTATTCTTAGGCTGATTCAGTTCTTCTGTGAGGGTCTTTAAACTGGGTGGCCTCAGCTGTTAAATTGGAATTCAGGATCCACTTAAATAATTCTTAAACAAAAGCCTCATGATTCTAATACCAGAGATCCAATTTAAGGCCAGAAATACAATCTATAGGAACAATGGAGATGCAAATGGTCAGTATCCTGTTAAGTGACTTTCAGTTACAAGGAAGTGGGTCCAAGCACAGACTGATTAATGCTTAATTATAACTATATTTCTGTCCAGAATTAGTGTTAGCCCTATGAACATGGCTTCAGCAGGAAGTAATATTGTAAGGAAAAAAATGGGGTTGGGGGTAAATTTTTTCCAGTAGTACTCAGCCAAGATGCTGTTACTTTTCACTGAAATCCAGGGTGGGATGAAAAGTGCTCCCATCTACCAAGAGCAGCTTCAGAAGAAAAGAGAAATATGTAACATGTGTCAGTCAAGAAAGATCAAAGTGTGTAACCATTTGCAGTCCCAAAACCTGGCTGGTCAAGGTGACTAAGTGGCCCACACAGGAACTATCAATAAGGTAATCACTGTGGAGTGAATGAGAGTTTAGAGGGGAGAATGTGACTCCCAGAGGGCTGAGAATGTGTGTGCTATGGTTATTTTTTTATTTTTTTATTTTTTTGAGACGGAGTCTCGCTCTGCCGCCCAGGCTGGACTGCAGTGGCCGGATCTCAGCTCACTGCAAGCTCCGCCTCCCGGGTTCACGCCATTCTCCTGCCTCAGTCTCCCAAGTAGTTGGGACTACAGGCGCCCGCCACCGCGCCCGGCTAGTTTTTCGTATTTTTTTTAGTAGAGACGGAGTTTCACCATGTTAGCCAGGATGGTCTCGATCTCCTGACCTTGTGATCTGCCCGTCTCGGCCTCCCAAAGTGCTGGGATTACAGGCTTGAGCCAGCGCGCCCGGCCTGTGCTATGGTTATTGTAGGCCAGTGGCTATAAAGTCAAAGTTGTGACATTACAGCAGGTAGCTAGTCAGGCATGAGCAGGACAGGAGAGGGCTCCACCCGTCCAGGAATGTCAGGCGACCATCAGATGATGGACAGGATGTTGTCAAATGTTTCTCTAAAACAGTAATTGGTCACAGCCAGTAAAAGGGAAAGGCAGTCTCCATATAGACAGAAAGAAACCTGCAAGTGGCCATCAGCAGCTTCCCAATAAGATCCGGAGAAATGGGTGAGTGAGCTCAAGCATGCACATTAAGAGGCAAAATGGTGGAGTTTAACTGGTATGTGACCTTCCTCTAGGAATGCTAGACTGGTAAGGGAAGAAAGCCTCAAGTAAGCATGGGCACAATTCCCGTAAACACACTGCCAGGCTCCTCTCCCAAGCGCTAGTAGGCCACTGCGCATGTGAACAGCCCACCCCAAGGGAAGAATCAGGGGAGACGGGACCCAAGATCCCGGAACTATGCCAATGGATAAAACCCCAAGTCAAAAGGTCAAACTGTAC